TGGTCCAGTTCCCCTCCTGGCCCTCTTAATGGCTTCTGGCCACTTCCTCTTGGGATCTGGCCAGAGTAAGCTCAGGAAATGCAAAGTTTTAATTCTGGAATCAGTAAAGCATATTAGGAAAGGAAATCCACAAATGAAAAAAACATCATATTATGCATTTCAAAGCCAAGGGACAGAATCAGATTGTATATTTGTGGGGACAGGAACCATTTTACACATTTTGGTGCAGAACTCAGGGACTGATTTAGCCATTATTCACCCTCAGGTTCACCCAGGATTTGGTCTCTTGCATTCTTGTATGATTCCAAAGCTTCCATCCAGCACAACCTTCAGCTCTAGCAGCTAAGCTGTCTGCAATCCTGCTTTGTGCTCCCTGACAACCCGGGAGGATGACCCGCTATGATGAAGGCCCAGATAAACAGTCAGTATTTTTAATTATACTCACTTCCCTAGGATTTTGCAGGATCAGATGATAGAATATATTTGAAAGGCCTTTGTAAAATTGGATGAGCTATACAACCATCAGCTGTTCTTTATTCATTGTTGTTCTGGTTGATGACCTAACTGATACTTGCTACACTGCATTGCAGAATGTTCAAGGAGATTCAGATTTCTACAATGACTATGCATTTAATATACTGTTACTATGTACTCACGGTGTGCTGTGTACTTTCACACATAATCCTCAAAATAGTTTTATAATGTTTATCAAAGATCAGATAGATTTAACTTGCTCAAAAACATAATTTTTGATCTTTTTATGCTCTCCCAAGATTGGATTAGGTTTCTCCATGTCTTACCACACCACAGCAGTTACTACATATCTTCCCCACTACACTAGAACCTCTGGGTGCTAGGAACTGAATTTTGTTCACTGCTCTATGCCCTCTATCCAGCTAATGGAGCCAGACACAAAACATAGAAGATGCTACAAAAAATAGTTTGGGTGAATGAATGAAGGCTGATTTTATATCCATTGCTCTATTCTGAAAACTACTGTTTTCTTATTAACTTACTGTTCGTCACCTATTTTTCCCTACTAGAATGTAAGATGCCTGTGAAAACATATTATTATGTTTTATTCACTGCTGGATTCTCAAAGCCTGAAAGAATGCCTGGGATATACTAAGTGTCCAATAAATATCTGTTGGTGAATGAACAAATGATAGCCATATGGACAAGCAAATTCCACCTCTTTTTGTGATATCACTATTTTTTCTTTTTCTTTTTCTTTTTTTTTTTTTTTTGCGATGGAGTTTCACTCGTTGCCCAGGCTGGAGTGCAGTAGCGCAATCTTGGCTTACCACAACCTCCACCTCCCGGGTTCAAGAGATTCTCCTGCCTCAGCCCTCTGAGTAGCTGGGACTACAGGCACACGCCAGCATGCCTGGCTAATTTTGTATTTTTATAGAGACGGGGTTTCTCCATGTTGGTCAGGCTGGTCTCTAACTTCTGACCTCAGGTGATCTGCCTGCCTTGGCCTCCCAAAGAGATGGAAATATAGGTGTGAGCCACTGCCTCAGGTCTAGTTTGTGTATTTTCACTTAATATTATGCCATGTTTGTATCACAGGGACTTCATAACCATATCCATCTAACTATTTATTGAGGCCAGGCGCAGTGGCTCATGTCTGTAATCCCAACACTTTGTGAGGCCCAGGCAGGAGGATTGCTTGAACTCAAGAGTCGGAGACCAGCCTAAGCAACATAGTAAGATCCAGTCTCTATAAAAGTTATAGTTATGAGGTCAGGAGTTCGAGATCAGCCTGGCCAATATGGTGAAATCCTTTCTGTACTAAAAAAATACAAAACTTAGTCAGGTGTGGTGGCATGTGCCTGTAATCCCAGGTACTCAGGAGGCTGAGGAAAGACAATTGCTTGAACCTGGGGGGCAGAGGTTTCAGTGAGCCGAGATTGCGCCACTGCACTTCAGCCTGAGTGACAGACAGAGCAAGACACCGTCTCACATACACAAAAAAGTTATAGTTAGTCCCAGCTACTTGGGAGGTTGAAGTAGGTGGATTGCTTGACCCTGAAAGGTTGAGGCTGCAGTGAGCAGTGACTGATAGTGCCACCTCACTCCAGCCTAGGCAACAGAGTGAGACCCTGTCTCAAAAACAAACTACAACAAACACGAAAAAAACACTGATACCCAACCTAATAATTTTTCTTTTTTTTTTTTTTTTTTTTTGAGACGGAGTCTCACTCTGTCGCCCAGGCTGGAATGCAGTGGCGCGATCTCGGCTCACTGCAAGCTCCGTCTCCCGGGTTCACGCCATTCTCCTGCCTCAGCCTCCCAAGTAGCTGGGACCACAGGCGCCCGCCACCACCCCTGGCTAATTTTTTGTATTTTTAGTAGGGACGGGGTTTTACCATATTAGCCAGGATGGTCTCGATCTCCTGACCTCGTGATCCGCCCGTCTCGGCCTCCCAAAGTGCTGGGATTACAGGCGTGAGCCACCGCGCCCAGCTGCATGAACTTTTTAGAGTCAAGTGCATCCACTTATTAACCTTCTTGACAACCCTAGGAGTGGGTACTAATTATTAACAACACCTTTTATTAGAAAAAAACCTTGATGCTTAGGGTGGCTGAGTAACTTGTCTGATCTCAGTTTAAACCCAGGCAGTCTCCCTTGCTAAACAACCAGTAGGATGTGATTCCTTTTGCTATCTATCTCCTCTGGGCAAGTCAGAGTAAAAGCAAAAAGTAAATATACTGATGCTCTTCAGCTGAGGAGAAAGATACTCTATGCTCTACTGCTTCCAACTGCTTACATTTGGATGACTTTGCCACAGTGGCCCAGACTGAATGGAGGAAAAAAGAGTGACTGAATCTAAAACCCTAAAGCTGGAACACATTTCGGGTAGTGACATATGTAAACCACCACCCCTCCCTGCCCAGATTCTTTTAAAGTCTGAAGCAACTTGCTTCAATTGCTCACATTTAGGCAAGCCAGGCAAACTTGAATTGTCATTTCCCATCATACACTGAAAGAATGGTCAGTTACATAAGTCTATCATTAACCTCTTCCTTCATGTATTCTAAGCAGTGCCTGACTTGATTATTAAAACCAACCATAATGGCGGGGTGCGGTGGCTCATGCCTGTAATTCCAGCACTTTGGGAGGCTTTTCTGTTAACATTTCCTCATCTTTCTAAGCAAAAGTGTGTGTGAGGGGATGGTGGTGAGGGGCATACTGCACTGATGATTAGACTTATTATACTGTGAACCATTTCCCAGAGAGGGTAAAACCCAGACATTTAGCTTTTTCATACACATATGCAACCAATATCCAGTTTATCAATCTGAGATTTATTACAATAAGCCATTTGTTCATATGGAAATATTAAATGGTTTTTAACCATTTATTTTACCATCATCCTTTCATTAATACAATACATAGTTTTGTACAAACTATGCATTTATGTTGGCTAGTTAAGACACTTCATAGATTTGGGTATAACATGGTAATATGATATGATTTATGTTACCATGACCTGCAATTGTTCAACCTATCAGTTTCTTGAATACTTTTCCTGCTTTGACTTGGGAGCCTGTTTCAGAGTGTGTACTCACGAACAGTCCCATGCCTTTTCAGGCACTGCAACTACCTAAGAACTGTCTATATTCCCTCTGTGTTACAGAGAAAAAGAAAAGCAGGTGCTTTATGCATACATCTATTTTCCCAAAGCAGCCACTGAAGCCGTGTTAACTGAAATAAAACTTTAAAGGCAGTCAATCTTCAAATGGAGTAAAGGACAACAGACTAGATCAGAAAGCACAGTTGCTTCCAGTGTTGACCTGCAACACAGAGATGATAAGCTGATTAATAAGGAGAGACTAAGAGTAGGCTTATGTTGAGCTTTAGTGTTGGTTCTGTTACCAAAACCGATCCTGAATAAATCCCTTAAGCATTTATCTTCAGTGGGAAAAAGTCAGGGTTGTACGGGTAATCAAACATTTAGTTCCAGCTTTGAGCCAGTTATAGGCATACCTTAAAGATACTACAGTAGGTTCAGTTCCAGACCATGGCAATAAAGCGTGTCACACATCTTTTTTACGTTTCTCATTGTATATGAGTTATGTTTACACTGTATCCAGTAGCTTTTTTTTTTTTGAGACAGAGTCTTGCTCTGTTGCCCAGGCTGGAATTCAGTGGCGCAATCTCAGCTCACTGCAACCTCCACCTCCTGGGTTCAAGCGATTCTCCTGCCTCAGCCTCCCGAGTAGCTGGGACTACAGGAGTCCACCACCACGCTTGGCTAATTTTTTTTTTTTTGAGATGAGTCTTGCTCTGTCACCCAGGCTGGAGTACAGTAGCGCGATCTCGGCTTGCTGCAAGCTCCGCCTTGCGGGTTCACGCCATTCTCCTGCCTCAGCCTCCCTGAGTAGCTGGGATTACAGGCATCCGCCACCACGCCCGGCTAATTTTTTTGTATTTTTAGTAGAGACGGGGTTTCATCATGTTGGCCAGGATGGTCTCGATCTCCTGACCGTGTGATCCACCCGCCTCGGCCCCCCAAAGTGCCGGGATTACAGGCATGAGCCACTGCACCTGGCCTAATCCTCATTTTTATAGAGGGGAAGAGAGGAGAGGTACACAGAGATTATCGACTTGGGTCCGAAGAAAATTAGAGTCGAACCTGAGGCCAAGCCTGCCAACACTCTCAGCAGCAGTTTTCTCCTCGAACAGTCCTCCTCTATCTGCCATGATGCCCAGGCATACAAAGGGAGTTTTTCATTGTTTCCTTAAGGTTAAATGCTCTGGATGCTCTCAGTTCAAATAAGATGGTTTTAAAATTCCCCTCCTCCTTGCCTTACAGCAAAGAAGAGAAAAGGAGAAATTCAAATGAAAATAAATCATATACCCAAATATCAAGGCTCACAAGCTGGATGATTTAATTCAATCAATTTAGCAAGGCCCAAAATGAAACCTGGTAATGAAAATGAAGACACAGCAATATTTTCCTGAAGAAAATAGACATTTGGAAGAATAAATATTTTCTTAAAAAATGTTTATTTGGAAAAGTCAGCCTCTTACACAAGGTTTTGTATCTATGCTTTTAACTCTGTCAATTACAGTGGTATTTTAAATGCATTGAATATAATTCATTGAATATCTATATCTTTCTGCCTCGATTTAAGTGATATTAGGTTAAAAAAATATTTACAGTTTTCATTCTGGTCCACCTTCCCTCCTTATCCTTATACTGAATCAATTTCTCTAATTTTCAGGTAAGTGAAAGGGGTCACGAAATTTCTAGGTTTGTGTGGAGAGTAAGAATGCATCCAACAATTCAACAACGATTTTCTGTAAGGCCTTCTCTGAAAAAAGAGAAAGAATTACTTATTAAAACTAAGCACACTTAGCAACTTCTTCCCCAATCCTATCTTTATTCGTTTGTCTGGTGCCAAATTTTTCTGGCCCTTTTTAATTTGCAAACATTAAAAAATAAAATTAAAAAAAAAAACAAACAAAAAAACAAAAAAACCAGCACAACAAAACACCAAACACACACATATCTTATGCATAGCACTAAGCTGGAAGCAGATATAAATGGGACCACTGTGAATCAAAGGGGAAAAATTCCAGGAAAAAAAAATTCCAATAGCTTCACAGTTTAACTGAGGTTTTGGAAAAACTTAAGTGAATTCAGCTGATGTTTGAAATATCTGTCTACATTTAATTAGGTGTGTTGTATTTACCAAGGAGGCACAAATATGTAGTTTTGTAGATTTTAATACTAACTTTTCCAGTGAGAAAAATAATACCAGGTGATTTCAAAAAGGGCAGTGATCTATAAACACTCAAAATGCATCTTTGAACAGGGGAGCAAAAATAGCTAATTTAATGAAAACAAACCTTAAGCACTGCACTTGGCTTCTAATAAGCATCTCAAGAAAAGGTACCTGAGAGGGGTTGACAAGTACACTGTGTCTAGAACAGCCAAGATGTTGCCAAAGTTTTATGCTTTGAATTTCCTAAATATGTAGCTAGCAGAAACATATGCCAGAAATCTACTGATGCTAGGAAAATATTTGTCAGCATTTTATAAAATCTCTAATTTTCAACCAATATTTCTGTTCATAAATCTTCCAGTGAAAATGTCTGAAATATATTACATGTAACAATGAAGCAAGATTAATTTTAAATTTTGGATTTGCCTCAAACAAGCTAGTTGTTATTTTCCTTTTAACACAACACTCGAAATAGATGAATTCAGCAAAAATGGTTTAAGAAGTTAAGGCTCTCTAGAGTTCTAATGACTAAAACTTAAGGCACATATTATAATCTTTATGACACTATTAAAAGCGAAGATTAAAACAAAACAAAACAAAACCTACTTCTTTCCCGCATCTTTTGCTACCAATCACTCCCTCCTCAAAGCATATGTCATTTTAAATTCAGGCTATTGGTAAGGAGTCAAACAAAAATCCCACCAATGAACAACTGGTATGATTTCCACACAAATGTCTACTATTTGCATTGAGCACCACTGGTAGATTACAGGCCAGTAGAATATTTTCAGATATCCTGGGTCATCAACTGCTCAATTTTACCCTTCAGCCCCATGGATTCAGACTGGACTGTCCTCCTCCTTGGGCCCTTCTTCTGTGTCTTTCTGGTCCGGAGAGTCTGCTGCTTTGGTAACTTCCTTTGGCTTTCCAGCAACATCTATACTGGTCTCTTCCTCTTTACTTTCCTTTTTCTGCTCGTTTGCTTTCTGTTCTTTTGCCAAAAGTCGATAATTGATGCCCATGCCAATGAAGAGATAGATACCGGAAATAATTAGGACGATGCCACATGCCCAGTATGTGTATTTGTAGTCTCCATACATGTCACTGAGCCGACCTAAATATGTAAAATGACAAAACAGTTATGTTTCTAAGAGTAAACAGGTTTTTTTCTTCCCCAAGCAAAGCTTAAGGATCCATTCAGAAACATGTCAATCCAATCTTTAAAGAGTCCCAAAATGATGAATTAGTATAAGGAATTGCTGAAAATTAGCTGATCCTCTGTTTATAATGCCTCATGGATTTTAAGTGGCCTTTGCATCTTCTGTTATTTTTAGTAACTTGAAAATAGTTAACTCTCGGCAAACTGGAAACGGAAGAGACGCAGTGATCACCTAGAGTCAATTCTCTTAACACACTATAGAAATAAGCGTTGCTGAAAGAGGCCTGGGAGTCTTGTCCAAGGCCATAGTGCTGTCCCATTTACCCACGCCAATCCTCTTTCTCAGCATTTCCCAAAGAGTATTCCTGTGAACACTTGTCCAGTGCTAAAAATTTAAAAGCAATATCTTACACCCATTCTAAGTGCTTAATCCTTACAACAGGCAGATTCTATTATCATCCTCACTGGACAGATTTAAAAACTAAATTACAAAGATGTTAGCTAATTTGTCCATGGTCACAAAACTAATAAGTGAAATGACTTGGCTTTAAACATAGAAAGTCTGACTCTGAAGTCTGCACCCTTAAGCATGTGCTACAAGGACACTGCTTTAATGTTTCAAAAGTCAAATGAATGGGTAAATGGCATATTATTTTCTCATAAAGGATTTGTGAAGTCTGGTAGTAAAGAATCCTATTTAACTTGATGTTTCCAAATTTTATTTTGGTTATGTAACTTCCATTACTGTAAAATTTATTAGCGTCTCATTGAACTGGTATTTTCTGGGAAAATTCTACCCTACACTTAAACAGGACTTAATACAACCAATTTAAATATGATTCCATATGGCTTTCTAACTCACTGCATCATTCATTAACAATATTTTTTTAGCCTTTATCATATACCAGGCACTGGCTCAGCTAGGCCCTGAGGATAAGGGTGAACAGAGGAGTTAACATCCACAGTTCAGTGGACAAGAGAGATGTTAATCAAGTAACTACACAAACTGTGACAAGTACTACCAGGGGAGTTTGAAAGAAGTGGGGTCAAGAAAGCTTTCCTTAAAGTGCCAACTAAGCTGGGATTTGCAGGATAAGAATTATCTAGGAGAAAGGGGATGGGAATTAGATCTAAGCAGAGAACTGCAGTGCAAAGGCACAATGGTAGGACAGAGCATGGTGTGTGAGGTGAAAGAAGGGCCAGGTTGCTGGGGCACAGAAAGCAGGAGGCCAGTGGTAGAAATGAGGCTGGAGGGACAGGTGGGGCCAGTCCATGCAGTGCCTTGCAAGCCACATTAGGGAATTTGCTTTTCACCCTGAAAGTAAGGGGAAGCAACTGGAGAGTTTTAAGAAATCTTGAAGAGTTCTGAACTGGAGACTTCAAGGAGACTGAAGAATAGCTGGAACTGATACAGGTAGACCAGTTAGGAGGTTACAGTTAGGAGCAGCCCAAACAGGAGACAAGAGCTTTGGATAAGGGTAGTAGTTGTGATGGAGAAAAATGGGCAGATGAGAAAAAGACTTAGAGCATAAAAACTGATAGAACTTAGTAACTCACTGGGTATGAGATGGAAGAAGACTGATCTCAAAAGGCAGCTATGGATCTTCTGTTATAACTCACTCACTCCCCAAATCAAAATTCCTAAAGTATGAGTCACATCCAGAAGGAAGGTCAAATTATTTTTTCACTACGTGTTATCTATTGAGCTATATTTATTTGAAAGACCAAGTATTCAATAACCTTCAGGAATAGTTCCCAAGTTATAATTAGTTTACTAGCTGTATGATCTTAGCCAAGTTACTTCACCTTTTGAAGCCCCTGTTCACTTACAAAATGGGGACTAAAACGGTCCTACCTCACATGGACTTGTGAAATACAACAGGAGATACAAAATGATAAGGACTGTCTCTGGTACACTGTGAGCTTACATGGTAGCTATTATTATACTATTGCTACTGAAATAAACTTTTGTTTTTTTGTTTTTTGTTTTTTTTTGCTTTTTGTGTGTTTTTTAAAAACTTATGGGCCAGGCGCGGTGGCTCACGCCTATAATCCCAGCACTTTGGGAGGCTGAGGTGGGTGGATCACTTGAGGTTAGGAGTTCGAGACCAGCCTGGCCAACATGGTGAAACCCTGCCTCTACTAAAAATACAAAAATTAATTGGGCATGGTGGTGGGTGCCTGTAATCCCAGCTACTCAGGACGATGAGGCAGGAGAATCGCTTGAACCCAGGAGGCAGAGGTTGCAGTGAGCTGAGATCGTGCCATTGCGCTCTAGCCTGGGCCACAAGACCAAGACTCTGTCTTAAAAAAAAAAAAAAAATTATGTGAAATATACTCCATTTTTAAAATGAAATAATCACTAGTGCTTTAAAGATTGAGTTGTTTTTCTACATGCTTTTCTACACTAAGCACATCAGTTTTGTGATCAGAAAAAAATGTATTTTAGGCCAGGCGTAGTGGCTCACACCCGTTACCCAGCACTTTGGGAGGCCGAGGCAAGTGGATCATTTGAGGTCAGGAGTTAGAGACCAGCCTGGCCAACATGGCGAAAACCCGTCTCTATTAAAAATATAAAAATTGGCCAGCATGGTGGCATGCACCTGTAATCCCAGCTACCGGGAGGCTGAAGCAGGGGAACTGCTTGAACCCGGGAGGCGGAGGTTGCAGTGAGCTGAGATGGTGCCACTGCACTCCAGCCTGGGTAACACAGCAAGACTCTGTCTCAAAAAAACAAAAAAACACTGACATTTGTAACAATATTTGATCCTCCTTTTGGCTTGATGGTTCCATTTAATTAGATTCTATATTTGAGCAATTATCCTGTGCCAAGCATTGTCCCAGCACCAAGGGTACAGAAACGAGAAAGATTTATTCTTACCCAAATAGCTCACTAATGTTTGCTTTCTGTCAGCTTTCCCATCTTATATGCTTGTTTTGTAACAGAGCCACATTAGTAGGGAGACATACTGTACCTAAAAGTGGTGGCCCCAGGAGGACAGGACAGCATTCCACAATGGTCACCAATCCCACAGCGCTGGAGAACCTCTGGGGTCCAACAAGGTCCATCAGTGTTTCAAACAATACGGAGCTGAGCCACCCAAAGGCAAATCCAAAGAATCCCGCATAGACACAGAATCCAACATAGGTAGTGGATAAAGGTGCTAGCATATGACACACTCCATTTGCAACAATAGAAGCCGCAAAGAAATACTGAATTCGAGGTCTTATTGGCTTTGTGTTGGCTACAAGTCCCATAGATGGTCTGGCTACCATGTCAACAAAAGCCAGAATGGAAAGAAGGAAGGCAGACTTCTCACTAGAATAATGCTGACTCTTCCCATAACTACTAAGAAACACTAAAGGTGCAAAGAGTCCAAAAAACATGATCACATTTCCAGAGAGGTATAGCAAAAAGCCTCTGTGGGTGAATAGGGTTAAGTCCAGGAACTGATTAATTGTTTGGAAGACTGATCGTTTCTCCCGTTTAGGGTGTCTTCCAATAAGATCCGTATTTGCATCATGCAGACCTTTTTTTACACCAGATTTTTCAGCTTTCTGAAGGGATGCTTTAGACTTATCTTTCCCTGCCTTGGTTGGTTTGGGCCCGATTGGTCGCATGAGGGCTCCAGCGACACAGCAGTTTAGTAGCAAGCCTCCAAGAATTAGAAAGCTTCCTCTCCATCCAAAGATACCAAAGAAAACCTGATTGAGGGGGGCCAGAGTACAGAGGAACACAGGGCTGCCTGCCATGGCCAGTCCGTTGGCCAATGGTCGCCTTTTGTAGAAATACTTGCCAATCATGGTTAGAGCTGGATTCAAGTTGAAGGCAAGCCCAAGACCTGTGAAAAGGGAAAAATAAATAAATAAATAAATAATAAGAGGTATAAATAATGGAAAGAATAGGATATAAATCCTCATTGTTAGAGAACATGTTATGTAGTGGTTTAAAGTATGAGTTCTAAAACAGACAAGGGTTCAAATCTCAGTATCAGTGCTTACTGGCTGCATAATCTCAGACATGTATACCCTCCTATGACTGCTTCCTAATATGTAAAACGGGCAAAGGGTACTGTTGTGAGGAAGAAAAATTTGTTAAGCACTTAGTACCCACTGCCCAGCAGGTAGTAAGCACTCAATACATGTTATTTTTATTATGTTGTTATTATTTGAAGGTGAATAATTGTCTATTTTGTCCAATCTAACAAAATCACCTTAAGGACTATTATGACCATATAAGATCATTAAGCTGACAGTAGAGATAAAACAAATTTACACTAGAAAATACATAAGGCCAGGTGCAGTGGCTCATGTCTATAATCCCAGTGCTTTGGGAAGCCAAGGTGGCAGGATTGATTAAGGCCATGAGTTCAAGACCAACCTGGGCAACATAGCAAGACCTGTCTCTACAAAAAGTAATTCGAAAATTAGCCTGGTATGGCAGTGTGTGCCTGTAGTCCTAGCTACTTGGGCGGCTAAAGCTGGAGTATCACTTGAGCCTAGAAGTTTGAGGCTACAGTGAGCTATGATCACATAACTGCACTCCAGCCTGGGCTACAGAGCAAGAACCTGTCTCAAAAACAAAAAAGAAAGAAATAACATACAGTACAAAATGATCCCTTCCAATATAGCACCAAAACTTAAAAACAGGCATTTCCTAAGGCTCCAATTGTGAAACTTTCCTGAGAGATTAGAGAATTTAAAATACATACAAAGTTTTGGGAAAATAAAACATAACATTGTTAAGATGTCAAAGCTCCTGAAATGAATGTACTAACTTAATGCAATCCAATGCAAATGTCAGTGAATTTTACTTTCAGATTAAGGTAAAATGATTCTAAAGGATACTTAGAGAACAAATACAGAGCTACTAGGAAATTTTTGGTGGTGCAGAGGAAAAAGTGGGACCAACCAGAACATATTATTTAAATGGCTTTACAAAAGCTACAATCATTAGAGCAGTGTGGCTCTGTTTCACGTATCAGTAAAAATTGATCAGTGCAAGTGCAGAAACACTACAGAAAGTCCAGGAACAGAGTTGAAATATACAGAAACATTTGATGTAAGATAAAGTAGCATTTTAAATTAATTCAACAAACAGTGAAATTATTCAATAAATAGTGCTAGCAGAAGAAATGTTCAAAGAACTTCCTGACCTCATAGCAAACCATTCTTACATTTGTTAATAAGCTCTAGGGTCTATGATCCCTTACATTTTCACAAATCTGGTTCCCTGTTGTTATGCAGGTCTCTACTTAAAGTTGATTGTTCAGTGAGCCCTTACCTTCATTGCTTGCCCAGTTCTTCCCTGTCACAACACTCAGTTAAAGGTTTTATACAGTATTTATCACTGCCTGATATTTTTCTCATTTATTCATATATTTATGAGTTGTACTGTCTGTCTCCTCCTATTAAAGAGCTTAACTGCCTGACTTGTTGCTCTATCTCTATAGCACCTAAAATGGATCCTAACACACATACAGTTGTTGCTCAATAAGTATTTCATAAATAAATTAATAAATGAGCAAATGAACCAACTGATTAACCATGTGGGAACAAATACAGTTGTATTGCTTTTTTCTCATCTTATGTCAGATATTTTCATTCATTCAGAATTTTTAAATGTAGCTGGGCGCAGTGGCTCATGTCTGTAATTCCAGCATGTTGGGAGGCCGAGGTGGGTGGATCACCTGAGGTCAAGAGTTTGAGACCAGCCTGGCCAACAAAGTGAAACCCCGTCTCTACTAAAAATACAAAAATTAGCTGGGTGTGGTAGCGAGCGCCTGTAATCCCGGCTATTTGGGAGGCTGAGGCAGGAGAATCGGTTGAACCCAGGAGGCGGAGACTGCAGTGAGCCGAGATCACGCCATTGCACTTTAGCCTGGCAGTAAGAGTGTCTCAAAAACAACAACGACAACAAAAAACAACAAAAAAACAGATTTTCAAATATAAAAACTAAAGTGCCCTAAACAAAAGTGGACAAATATTTTCATAATCTTGGAGTAGAAAACAACTTTCTCAGGATGCTATACGAGATGGAAACCATAAAATACTTTTTGAATACACAAAAATTTTAGATGTTTAATAATGGGAAAACATTGGAAAAGATTGAATTTAAAAATACTTTTTAACAAAATTCAACATCCAAAAATTAATCAGGAGGCTGGGTGCAGTGACTCACGCCTGTAATCCCAGCACTTTGGGAGGCCGAGGCAGGTGGATCACGAGGTCAGGAGATCGAGACCATCCTGGCTAACTCTACTAAAAAAAAAAAAATACAAAAAATTAGCCAGGCGTGGTGGCAGGTACCTGTAGTCCCAGCTACTTGGGAGGCTGAGGCAGGAGAATGGCGTGAACCTGGGAGGCGGAGCTTGCAGTGAGCCGAGATCGCTCCACTGCACTCCAGCCTGGGCGACAGAGTGAGACTGTCTCAAAAAAAAAAAAAAAAAAAAAGAAAGAAAATAAGGGTTAATACCAAGAGATATTGTTCTCACCTGTTAAATTGGCAATTTTTTTTTTTTAAAAAAAGACAATATCCCATTGTTGACAAAAGGGATAATCTTGGAATCTCTGATATACTGTAGTGGGACAATAAGTGAGTATAACTTTTTTAGAGGACAATTTAGCATACATATATTAAAACAAACACACAGCAGTTCCTTTTCTACAAATTTATACTAAGAATATATTCATGTTCACAAAAGAATTTCAACCTAATACTGACAAAAACAATTTGTCAACAATTAAGAGATCAAATAAAATTATGTTATGTATGAGATTAAAATTGTTATGTATCAAAACATTTAACAACATGGAAAAATGTTCATCATATATTGTTAAGTGGAAAAAAAACTGGTTACAAAATATTATATATAATTTGATCCTTTTTTGCTCTAAAAAAAGGTGTATCTGTGCATAGGAAAACACATGGAAGGATATATATAGAAATGTTAATGATATTCTTTGGATTGTGAGGTTATGGGTAACTTTTATTAATTATGTTCATCAACAGTTCATTATCTTCATTTAGTGATTTTTAAAATGGGGGAGGAATTATCAAGCATATCCTCTACCCCTCAGAAACGTTATGTGGACATTCTATCAAATAGCCACTCTCGCACTGAGTTGCCACACACATTGTATCTACCACTACTGTCTATTCTTAGGACAAGGAATGCAATCATTCTTTCAATTCATTTACTCATTCAACAAACAATAAATATCCATCATATAATGGCAATTTCTTTAAAAGTTTGCTTTTCTAGTACTTTTATCTGTAGTTCTTCAAAATGATAATCAAGTCATTTCTATAAGAAAATAATTTCACTTCAGAGATCTGAAAGATGAATGCAGGTAAATACAAAATAGCCAGCAAAAAACTAATGCTTCCAAATGAATCAGTAGTAACTCACCTCCAACAAATCCAATACAGAAGTACAGTTCCTGTACAGTGTTACAGAAAGAAGCTGCAATCAAGCCACAGCCTGACAAGCAGCCACCAATAATCATGACTATACGACTTCCATATTTATTCACCAGGATACTGCTGATAGGACCTAAAAGATAACCAAAAATGTAGTAATATAAAGGAAACTGCTCCCTCACATCTATACAAGTATGAATGATAACGAATGACAAATCCTCCAAAATAAACAAGCAGCAATGATAAGAATACTGTTTTCTGTAATTATTTCTGAGTCATATGTGTACTAAAATAAAGATGTTAGAAAACATAATTGTGCAGGTTCTAAATCTAAAAATACTGGATGGAATTTTACTAAAATACAAAAGACCTGAAGTTATCCTTAATCTTTCTCTTTTAAGGCAGGGCAGGCTGAAAACACCTTGGCAATGGATGTTCACAAGGTTCTTGATTTATCTAGGATATGATTAACATATATGTAGAAAGTGGCTGGGCGCAATAGCTCACGCTTGTAATCCCAACACTTTGGGAGGCTGAGGCAGGTGGATCACCCAAGGTCAGGAGTTGAAGACCAGCCTGGCCAACATGGTGAAACCCCGTCTTGACTAAAAATACAAAAATTAGCCAGGCATGGTGCCGTGTGCCTGTAATCCCAGCTATTCGGGAGGCTGAGGCAGGAGAACGGCTTGAACCTGGGAGGTGGAGGTTGCAGTGAGCCAAGATCCTGCCATTGCACTTCAGTCAGCCTGGGCAACAGAGTGAGACTCTGTCTCAACAAACAAACAAACAAACAAAACAAAAACATGTATGTAGAAAGTATGTTCTAAATTTCAGACACACACACTGATAGGAGACATATAAATGCATCTAAATACATTTTAGAGTACTTGTATATTATCATAAATGTGGTTTGTGTTTTTTTTTTTGAGACGGAGTCTCGTTCTGTTGCCCAGGCTGGAGTGCAGTGGCACGATCTCGGCTTACTGCAAGCTCTGCCTCCCACGTTCATGCCATTCTCTTGCCTCAGCCTCTTGAAAGACAGGGTGAGAGTGGTGGCTCATGCCTGTAATCCCAGCACTTTGGGAGGCCAAGGTGGGTGGATCACCTGAGGTCAGGAATTTGAGACCAGCCTGATCAACATGGAGAAACCTTGTCACTACTAAAACCACAAAATTAGTTGGGCGTGGAGGTGCATGCCTACAATCCCAGCTACTTGAGAGGCTGAGACAGGAGAATCACTTGAATCTGGGAAGCGGAGGTTGTGGTGAGATTGCGCCATTGCAACTCTCGCCTGAGCAACAGGAGCAAAACTCCATCTCAAAAAAAAAAAAAAAAAAAAAAGGTGGACTGAGGGAGTTTGTCTTCCCTTCTGTCACATGAGGACACAGACATAAGGCACCATCACTACTTATTTAGTCTGCTGGAACTTTGATCTTGGACTTCCCAGCCTCCACTGTGATCAATACTTTGTTACAGCAGCCTGGGCAAACTAAGATAATCAGTTCATGAATTAGATCACAGCTAATTTGAAAATAATTTGAGCCAAGAATGGGGGCTCACATCTATAAACCCAGAACTTTGGGAGACCAAGGCAGGCAGATCACTTGAGTCCAGGAGTTCAAAACCAGCCTGGGCAACAAGGCGAAACCCTGTCTCTACCAAAAATAAAAAAGTTTGCCAGGTGTGGTGGTACACACCTGTAGTCCCAGCTACTCCAGAAGCTGAGGTGGGTGGATTGCTTGAGCCCGGACGGCAGAGGTTGCAATGAGCAGAGATTGTGCCATTGTACTCAGCCTGGGCAAGACAGCAATACTCTGTCTCAAAAAGAAAAGAAAGAAATAAAATAATTTGAATTTAAAGCTTATGTAAGATGAAAAAATTACATACTGAAAGAATACTTATAAAATATTTTTAGACTGGGCACAGTGGCTCACACCTGCAATCCCAGCACTTTGGGAGGCTGAGGTGGGTGGATAACCTGAGGTCAGGAGATTCTGAGACAAGCCTGGTCAACATCATCACTACTAAAAATACAAAAACTAGCCAGGCGTAGTGGTACACGCCTGCAGTCCCAGCTACTCAGGAGGCTGAGGCAGAAGAATTGCTTGAACCCAGGAGGCAGAAGTTGCAGTGAGCAGAGATCACGCCACTATAGTCTAGCCTGGTCAACAGAGTGAGACTCTGTCTCCAAAAAACAAAAACAAAAACAAAAAAAAACAAAACGAAACAACAAGAACAACAACAAAATATATATAGAGTCATAAGACTTTGTACAGCCAGAATAACAAAGATAAATACCAGGCCAGGCACGGTGGCTCATGCCTGTAATCCCAGCACTCTGGGAGGCCAAGGTGGGCAGATTGTTTGAGCCTAGGAGTTCAAGACCAGCCTGGGCAACACTGCGACAACCCATCTCTACAAAAAATACAAAAATTAGCCGAGCGCGGTGGTGCAAGCCTGTAGTCTTAGCTACTTGGCAGGGTGAAGGGGGAGGATCGATCGCCTGAGCCCAGGGAGGCTGAGGCTACAGTTAGTGGTGATTGTGCCACTGTACTCCAGCCTGAGTGACAGAGTGAGAAACGCTGTCTCAAAATAAATAAATAAATAAATAATAAAAAAGACCAGCTTGGGCCATAGAGTGAGACCCCATCTCTACTTAACAAAAATAAAAAATTAGCTGAGCATAGTAGTAGGGCCAACTGCTACTGGGGAGGCTGAGGCAGACATGATCATGCCACTGTACTCCAGCCTGGTCAATACATTGAGACCCTGTGTCAAAAAAAAAAAAGAAAAAAGATCCCACAAAACAAAGATCAATATCACCACACTGCTGACTTTGTGAGGTAGAAGTTAATACTGCAGAAGTTAAAGTTTTTGAAATATTTAAAATTCCAAACCACAAGTGTTAAGGTGACCCTTGTGGAACTTAAAATATGTAAATTTCTACTTTCATGTTTTAAAAAAAGGAAAAACAAACCAAAAGCAGGCAGGTAACATCTCCTCCCCACAAAATATACTTTAATAACCATCACTGTATATCTCTGACCCAAAGCACTAAAAAAGAAAACAAAACCAACCATATCTCAAAACGTAATAGTGTTCACATTGTGGTCCAAGTGAACAAGTTAAAGGATTATCACAGTGGTAAAAGTGATGAAAACTATTTATTAGGGGATATACTATTTAGAAACCAAACCAAACGAAACAACCCATTTAGTAAAAATTCTGCAACAAGGTTCATGATAGGCATTTTGTCTTTTAGTGTTATTTCAGGAAGGATGGGCCTAATTAGCTATGATTAAAAATAGAAAGGCGTACGGTTTATGGGCCTATTAAATACAAACTCAAAAAAATGTGCTAGTTATCTCACTAATTGCGTAAGGACAAAGGAGGAACTGTTTCCCCAAAGGAGAGTCACGTGCAATTAATAAAACTGACATCACTTACTTTTGATGCAAAACACAAGTGGCTCTCTAGCTCTTTGGTGGCACAGAATTGCAACATGTAAACTTCTGGTTTGTAGTCAACTTAAGAACACACTGAACACCTGGAGTACCTCTGGGTAATGTTTATACCAATTTTTTCAAGCCAACATAGTCAAAACCTGATTAAAATCCTGGCCGAATGGAGTTCAAAGCCTGCAAAATTATTGGCTCTCAGAAGCTAATGCCCAAAGTCCCTTTCCATTTCTCTGAACTTACAAAAAAAGCAAACACTACAATTTAGCACTTAGGTTCTTTAATTTGATAGACAAAATAGGCCCATGTTCAAAATGTAAAAGGCACAAAAAGATAAGCAGTGGAAACATGTCTTCCTACTCCTGTTCCCAGTCACCCAGTTTCTCTCTCTCCATGGCAGCCAGTTACCTGTTTCTTCTGTACAATTTAATTATAGGCTTAATGAAATTATGATTTCAACTGCTTATTCCTGTTTCATGATCATATATTATTGTCTCAAAAGGATTATAAACTTCTCAAAGGAAGGGATCAGTGTTTTCTGTCACTCACAACACCTAGCCCCGTGTTGAATGTACTCATAGAACTTGATAGATATTGGTTGAATATGGCACCACTTCAGCAGCCTAAGGCTAAGTTATTTATAGTTGAAACCTAGAATCATTACATTGGCTAGAAACAGTATTTTAGATGATGTTAAGTGAGCAACTTACTCCCTACATTTCCTTTACAATATGCCAAAGAAAACAAAAGAGAAGTAAGTGGTAAAATTTAAGTTTAGGGTACAGCTGACATGCTTTTAGGACTCATAACATCGCAAGTAATACGGAAGAGGTTTTATTCAGTTGATTCTAACATCATACAAAGATTTTATCTGAGACTTTGAACCATGCCATTAGGCCAGTCTGATTAATTTTAATTCTCCCAACATCAATTTTTAAAAATCTATATTTATGTTTACATTTCAAGAGTCTAGCAGGGATCGACAACAACAAAAAACCAGTTGCGCATACATCATTTTTATAACAGTCTTTTAAGCTCAATGATACATCAGTTGGAGCAAATCAACGTCGCTCACGATTTTCTCATTTCCGTTTTGAAATGCTATAGTATTTCAAATACTATAGTGAGAGTTGCTATTGTTATCAGGAATGAAAAATGTGACTCTAAACACCAAACTTTAGGAAATAACACTTCAAAACATCTCACTGAATAAGACTTTTTCTTTTTTTTTTAAAGTTACCTAATACAGACACTCTGGCTGCTTCATGAAAATTAAAAGAGCAGGCCTTAATAGGTACTTACCTCCACCATACATGACAGCCAACATTATGGAGGATATCCATGATACTTCGCTGGTAGTGGCATGGAATATACTTTCAATCTCTTTGAAGAAGACAGTAATAGATTTGGGAAATGCATAAGAGAAGCCGATGGAAATGAAAGCTCCAATTACCACTGCCCAGCCCCAGCCTCCATCTGGGGGGGTGTATCCAACTGGACCTCCAACTGCTGGTGGCATTTTAAGTGTAGATAAATTCCAAAACGCAAGTCAAACACAAATATCTGAAAGATATAAAATTAAAATAGTATGTCAATATAAGGCACACCTATAAAACTCTTTTGTGAAATAAGAAATATAGCCAGACGTGGTGGATCATGCCTACTAGTAATCCCAGCTACTTGGGAGGTTGAGGCAGGAGGATCATTTGAGGCCAGGAGTTCAAGACAGCCTGGGCAACACAGATCCTGTGTCTGTCTCAGAAAATTTTAAAAAAATTAGCTGGGTATGGTGGAGCATGCCTATAGTCCCAGCTACTCAGGGGGCTGAGGCAGGAGGATCACTTGTACCCAGGAGTTTGAGACCAGCCTGGGCAACATAAGTAGATCCCAACTTTACAAAAAAATTAAAAAATTAGCCAGACATGGTGGTGCGTGTCTGTGGTCCCAGTTACTCGGGAGGCTGAGGTGGGAGGATCACCTGAACCTGGGAGGTAGTGGCTGCAGTGAGCTGTGATTGTACCACTGCACTGCAGCCTGGGTGACAGAGCAAGATCCTGTCTCAATAAATAAATAAGTAAATAAATTGGGAAACAAGAGACCTGATGAGATTCTGGGTTGGTCATTGCATCCATGTGCAGGGGGGATAGCATACCCCAATTCCACGGGGGAAGAGGCTCCTGTACTTGGGGACCCTTCCAGACTTCACCCTATGTACTTCTTCATCTGGCTTTCATATGTATCTTTTATAGTATCCTTTATAATAAACTGGCAAACGAAAGTGTTTCCCTGAGTTCTGTGAGCCTTCCTAGCAATTAATCAAACCCAAGGAGAGGGTAGTGGTAGCCCGATTTACAGTCGGTCAGTCACAAGTACAGGTTACAACCTACTTATGTATGATTGGCATGTGAAGTAAGGGTCCTAGTTTTGTGCGACTGAGCCCTTACCCTGGGATCTAACTCCAGGTAGTTGAAGTCAAAATTGAATTGAATTACGGGACACCCAGTTGGTGTCTCCTACAATTGCTTGGTATATGTGGGGGAAAAAAACCCCACACATCTGGTTACAGTAGTGTTTTGTGATGTGCTGACTGTTGACTGTGTAAAAGAAAAAAAAAAAGGTGTTTTTCTCCTTCAGAACTTTATACTTAGCTCTCGAGTAAATGAATTTTTTTAAAAGTTACTTATCCAATAGACATTATCTTCTTTTAAAGACATTATCAGAAAAAGTTTTAGAGTCATAGCATTACCCATAATTTTTTGTAGCTTAAAGGAAAATGGCTTCTCACCACTTAAGAAATCATAATTGAAATAAACCCTTTTCAATAAATCAGTTAACATCATAATTCCTTAAATTATTATAGATAACCAAATGCCCAATTTGACTTGCCTGCTTGCAAAATTCACATAACACATAACCTACAAACACTTTAGGTGTGTTTTTTTTTTTTTTTTGAGACAGAGTCTCACTCTGTCGCCCAGGCTGGAGTACAATGGCGAGATCTTGGCTCACTACAACCTCTCCGCCTCCCAGGCAGTTCTCCTGCCTCAACCTCCCAAGTAGCTGGGAATACAGGTGCACGCCATCACCTCTGGCTAATTTTTGTATTTTTAGTAGAGACGGGGTTTGGCCATGTTGGCCAGGCTGGTCTCGAACTCCTGACCCCAGGTGATCCACCCACCTCGGCCTCCCAAAATGCTGGGATTACAGCCGTGAGCCACCATGCCCAGCCCCGACACTATAGGTTTTAATATAGCCTTTGTAAGTTTTTTACCTTTTCCAAAACATATTTTTCCATACTTTCTTTTCACATTCTCTTATTTATGGCTGACTTAACATACTAGGAGTGGGTGCCTGACTCACTGGATATGTAGCAATTTACAAAAAAATAAGATAATTCTAAACACCCCAAATTTTCACTTAACAGGCTGGGGAACTATCTCAGACAAGTTTCCTTTTATCTAATAGCTTTGATTCAAGGTATTTTTCTCCATTATATGACAAGAAATTCCTAAACAACAGCTAGCCAATACAGTTAAAATCAGAAATATATATATATGATGTCAAAAGATGGTAGCTTTAGTTAGGCCAGGCGCAGTGGCTTACGCCTGTAATCCCAGCACTTTGGGAGGCAGAGGTGGGTGGATCACCTGAGATCAGGAGTGCGAGACCAACCTTACCAATATGGTGAAACCCCATTTCTACTATAGGTTCTAGCCAGTGCATGCAGGCAAGAAAAAGAAACAAAAGGCATAAAGAAAGGAAAAGAAATAAAATAGGCCAGGTGCAGTGGCTCACACTTATAATCTCAACACTTTGGGAAGACCAATGTGGAAGAATTGTTTGCCAAAAATTCAAGAACAGCCTGGACAACATATCGAGACCCTACCTCTACATAAATTGTTTAAAAATTGGGTGTGGTGGTGCACATACGTAGTCCTAGCTACTTGGGAAGCTGAGGTGGGAGGATCACTCAAGCCCAGGAGTTTGAGATTACAGTGACCTATGATCATGCTGTTGCACTCCAGAGCAAGACCTTGTTTTCGCCGAGCGTGGTGGCTCACACCTGTAATTCCAGCACTTTGGGAGGCCGAGGCGGGCGGATCACGAGGTAAGGAGTCCAAAACCAGCCCGGCCAACATGGTGAAACCCCGTCTCTACTGAAGATACAAAAAATTAGCCGGGCATGGTGGTATGTGCCAGCTACTCGGCAGGCTAAGGCAGGAGAATCACTTGAACTCAGCAGACAGAGGTTGCAGTGAACTGAGATCACGTCATTGCACTCCAGCCTGGGCGACAGGGGGAGACTCTGTCTCAAACAAAACAAAACAAAAACAGCTTTGTCTCTAAAAAATAAATAATAATAAAGTTGTTTTTATTCAGATGACAGATGTGTATAAAGAAAACCCTTTTCTTTAGAGTTTTCTAAAGAGATGTTCCTTAGAACATCAAATAAGTGAATTTGACTAGGTCTCAGAATACAACATCAATAAACAGAAACCAGTTGTATTTCTATATACCAGCAATGAACAATCCAAATTTGAAAAAATTTTTAAATGCTATTGTAAATGGTAAACTATATAGAAATAATTCTCACAAAAGATGTATAAGATATGTACACCAAAAACTATAATACTGAGAAATTAAAATAGATAACCTATCCTCTTGGACTGAAATAATCAATATTTAAATCGGGCAAAGATTTCTGAAGGAACATAAAGAAACAACTATAAAAAAAAGTTGGCCAGGTGCAGCGGCTCACACCTGTAATCCCAACACTTTGAGAGGCTGAGGCGGGCGGATCACGAGGTCAGGAGTTTGAGATCAACCTTGCCAACATGGTGAAACTCCGTTTCTATTAAAAATACAAAAATTAGCTTGGTGTGGTGGTGCGTGCCTGTAGTCTCAGCTACTGGGGAGGCTGAGGCAACAGAATTGCTCACTTGAACCTGGGAGGTGGAGGTTGCAGTGAGCCGAGATGATGCCACTGCACTCCAGCATGGCCGACAGAACAAGACTGTGTCTCAAAAAAAAAAAGTCTAAAAATTAGAATTCAAAATATATACAAAACAATATACCCAACAAAAGACATACCCAAAACATAAAAAACTTGCACGACGATAGCAAAAAGGCAAATCATCCAACTTAAAAAAAAGCAAAAGATCTGAACAGATGCTTCACCAAAGATACATGAATGATAAACAAGCACATATAAAGATGCTGAACATCATTGGTTATTTAAAAATGCAAATTAAAATCACAAAAATAAGATAGATAATTCCACGACTTTGTGGGGATATGAAGCCAATGGAACTCTCATTGCTGATGTTACAGTCCCTTGGAACACATTTTGGCAGTTCCTTATAAAGTTACAGATACATTTAACATATGAGCCAGCCATTACAGCCACAGGTATTATCCAGGATTTATATAAAAATTCTCTAGCAGCTTGATGCATAATAGCCAAAAACTGAAAACAACCCAATGTCCATCAACACATGAATGGATAAAAATGGCATAGCTATATAATAGAATACTACTCAGCAATAAAAAGGAACTACTGATGCATGCAATAACATGGATGAATTGTAAAAGCATTCTGTTAAGTAGCAAAAAAAGCTAGACAGAAGATTGTATTCTATATGGTCACATTTATATTAAATTCTAGAAAAGGCAAAATTCTAGCACAGGTTGGGCATCTGTAATCTGAAAATATGAAACCAAAATCTGAAACTTTCTGAACACCAGCATGATGCTCAAAGAAAATGCTCATTGGAAAATTTTGAATTTTGGATTTTTGGATTAGGGATGTTCAACTGCTTAAGTAACTGCAAATATTCCAAAATCTGAAAAAATCTGAAATCCAAAACATCTCATCCCAAGCATTTTAGATAAGGGATAGAAAACAGATCAGTGGTCACCAGGGGTTGGGGGGAGGAGACTGCAAAGCGGTTTGGGGATAACTTTTAGGGTAATGGAAATACTTTATTATCATGATGGTGACAGTTACTCATCAAAGTGTACATTCAAGTTAGTAAATTTTATTATGTCAATTATACCTCAATAAAGCTTATCAAAACAAAACAAAAAAAAAAGTTCAAGGACAGTGACAAGGGGAATAAAATTTGTTCTGTGGCACAGGGAGACAATACAGAAGCAAAAGGAGAGGGCAGGCAAACTTCTTTGTCTTGGTTATCTGGATGGTTAAAAGAAAGAGGAAGAAGACAAAGACGAGAATAAACAAAAGGAGACAAGAGGAGGGCAGAAGACTCTTCTGAGAATTCACAACTCAGGCCAGTGTGAGCTCATGCTTGGCAGGAGATTATCTGTAGAAAACCTTTGTTTTTCTTCCAGAGATACATTATATTTGATTTTGCTAGCAAAGATTTCCCACAAACAAAGGCCTGCTAAATATAAGCTCACAATTGTGAGCACATCAAGAACCAATTAACTGTGAGTAAATGCAATGTCAATTCAACACAGTCGGATTAGACACTCAGGAACTACAGTCATAGAAATATGAATATTTAAATGACTAAAGACATAAAACAAGGCATTTAAAACAT